ACTGGCACTCGCAATCTCGAAACTGAGTTTTGCGAAAATTGCACCGGGTGAGGGTGGGGTCTCTCTCTCTCTGTTGCTGTCAATTTTTTCGCGTTCGGCAAAACTTGCCGGGACACATGTCTCATCGGGTATTCGCGGGGTATTCGCGGAGAAACTCCTGAAAGCACACGATACGATATATTTGTCGAAAACAAACGATATTTCGATGCTGCCGCGACATCCTAATTCGCTTTTCAAATCCGCCTTATATCGCCGTATTCGCAAAGTTAGTTTTATGTTCGCTGCCGCAATGCAATCACCGGGAAACAGTGAGATATCCCCGTCGAAGTACATATATGTATCGCGCGCGCGCGCAATTTCCTGTACGGAATATGACCTTATTTTCCTTATCCGGTACAACTTGGGTTATCGTGAATATCTCACAAAAGTACGTTAACCGCCGAATATTTGATATTAATATCGAATGAACTTTTACGCGAGAAAATGGTAAAGTTGTATCTTGCTTCTGGATCACTGGGGCAATATTTGGACAGAAAATACAGAATTTCCCGCGGATAATAACCTTCGAGAATTTCGCTTAATGCCTTATCGTAAGATTTTATATTGTAGGAAACGGACTCTGTAATTAGGAACTGAAAAATTATAGTCTTATCAAAGCTTCTGAGGCTACACTCGTCCAATAACGAAAATACTCTTACAGAAATGTAATACTTGGGACCGAAATAAGAAGCTTGGTAATTCAATCATTAGAAATTACCGCAAGAAACGTATTGTGAAATATTTTGCACAAAAAGTCTGAACGTTTCGTTCAAAGTAATTACATAATCACGAAGTGCTCGTTATCATTATACCCGTCATTTACACGTAGTACTTCCGTCGAGGTGGCACTTTTATAACAGCCTACCCATAATCATTTATCTTAAGCTACTCAATTTCGCAAGGTGCAATGCACTTTGCTTGGAAAAAGCGATTCTCCTATAGATTCCTTTTCATTCAAACCAGCCATTAGTTTGTCCGATCATCCCTCAACTTTTCGTAACCGTATTGCACCTGTGTGAGAAAAAGAATCGCGCGCGCGAGTGTGTGTATGTGTGTGATAGAACAGAATCGAGATCGCCGTACGTGCGCGATCAGTGGCACTCAGCTTGTTTAGAGCACTTTGGAGCACTGTGCAAGAGCGCGAAACTGTTCGGGAGGTCGCGATAACGAGGAGCCTCTGGCAGTTTTGCAAGTTTTACACGCGACAGGCGGTTTCCGGTTGTCGGGAATAGAATGACGTCCGGGAGGAAGGCGACGGGTTTACACGTAGGAGCGTCTCAGGTACGGCGTCGCGGTGCCAGCGATCGTGCCATAAAACTGATCACATATTTTTCCGTCGAGCGCGCGCGACTGTATTTCACGGACTTGTACGGCATAGTCTCCCACCGGTGTGAATTATGGGCCGCGCGAAATTTCTCGGTTTAATCGTTCAGAGAGCTGCGTCCTGCGCGCCGCTAAAGCGTCGGGAACACGCGGGGGTAAAAGACTGTTTTACGAGAGCGTACTAATGAAGATTCCTCTGCTCGATATCTTTCGTAATGGCAAAGGAAAACTTTCCAAGCTTTAGACCCGCGTGTTTTAAATCAAGATCAGTCAATTGTGGTCTTCATACAAACAAGACGCAACGTAAGAAAACGTAACCGTTAACAAACTATCAAAATTTACACGATCTCCGCACTGACAGCCAAGCGAGAGAACCAATCGGCATCGCGGAAAAGCGTCAATTAAATTTCTTACATGCCTTAAAAGGGGATTCGACTACAATGCGGCTTTCAAGAAGGCTACCCCTTTCTGGTAAAATATCGATGTTTATTAAGAAATGAATTACTGCAGACTCCAGCCGGCGAGATGAGATTGTTAGATCCCGTATCAAGGAGTTTCTTCCCCGAAAGTTGTAATATAGTGCCGAAAGTATCGCGATATCATCTGCGATCCGCGGGCGGGAATTTTTCTCCGTAACAAGTCCGTTGGTGATAAAGTTACTCGAACGCAACCGTTCGAGTCTTCTCGCGCGGGAAAGCCCCGAAGAATCGTTGCGAGCGTAGCTCGCTCGAAAATCGCTCCGAACTTTAAAGTAACGTCGATTCGTACGTACGCCGTAAGTTGCGCAATGCGTAACGTAAGGGATGAAAGATATTTCTCTTTTACCTCGAGGCCCGCGACGAGATTCAGCGAGATACTTTCCCGCGCTTCGCGTTATCCTTCCCGGCTTTCCGGGGAGATTGCGATTACTCCGCAAGACAGCGGGAATTTACGAAGTGCGTCAGGCAATTTACATGTACTTTGCGGAGTTCCGCCAGACTCGCGCCGGCTACAGCCCGGCTCGTATACAGCGCGCGTATAATCGCGTGTAGAAGTGATTTAATGTCGGCAAACGGCGCGAGTGCATCCATGCAAGTGCGGCTCTAACGTCGCCTAAGCGTATCCACCGAATGGGCTGGATTCTGGCGGGTAAGGGGCCGTTATAGCTCGATACTACGAGCCACGCTGTTCCCGCCGCGCGTTACCGCGGTCGAGAAGTGCGCCAATAATGTTCTCTCTTCCACTCTCTCGGGCCACTTAAGAAAGGTAAAATCTTATTTCTTCCAGCGGGAAAAGAGCGAGGTCGCGACAGCGCCCGGAGTTTCGACCGGAATTCGCCCGGCGCACATCGGGGACGTCGCATTTAAAGTTAATGCGCGCAGCATGCGGCTGCAAAAGCCATCGTTTCGCCCTAATCAATATTTTAAATTAAATTTGATATTCAATTTTGGATTTTACGGAAGAGAACTCCATTACGTGATAAATAATTGCTTCTATATTTACAGATACGTATAAATCTCTCTCTCTGCTCTCTTCTCTCTTTCTATCATTAATTGACGGTTTGATATTTTCCATTTGTTGGAAATTTACGACCAGTATTTTATTAGAATCGATATAGCAAGCTAATATATGGTCACTTAATATTATCTGATATTCCACGACTTTGCTATCGTGACAGCGATAATAATGTACCTGTAAAAGCACAGACTTGAAAAAGCGACGACGATTTAATGTGCGGAAATTGGACGACTGTAATGTACTTTTCGAGTCAATCTGTGCGCGGATACGTTAGAAAAGTACCGGTTAGCGAGACGAAACTCTATTTAACTGTTATCGAAATCCACGACAAGCGGCCATGATAGAAGTCACGTGCGATCCGAGCTAATTGAACGGTCCCGAGCCAGAGAAGCGTGATCCATATTAATCATTCCGATACTAAGCGAAACTGGTAGAGAGCAATTTTTCGACTTTAACGTTAAGTGGACGACCTTCGTTATATACTTCCGTACATTTCCGTAGATACGTTCTAATAAATGAAATGACAACAAAGATTAAAACACAGTAGGAAAACTGTTCTGGGGTAATTTCATTACTCCTCTTAATAATAAAACAGTGAAACTTCTCGCGCACGAAGTTCCCGAATGAGAATGCTACAAAAATTTTATGATTTTCCTGTCAAGGTAATGTTTTAACTTTGTTAATCCTCCGGTGTATAAATCTTTTTCGTAATTTCCGAGAGATGTAACGTATTCGCCTTACGTCTCCATATATTCAGACGTGAAAGAGTTTATAAAAAAAAAAACCTTTTACTTTCTCCCTTGCGAAAATTTATGCAACGCAAAAATTATTCGCGGATCTAAGAATTCAAAGGAAAAGGAGACTTTTAATCTTTAGTACACTTTGGTTTCTGTTCCATTGAACGGAAAATAAATTTTATATTAAATGCTCACTCGTGGATGCTGGACCCTTGGTGATTCACTGACTGCACGTACATATTTGTCACTGCCGCGAAAAGGATGAAATTTGGCGGAAGGAACTTTCGATGCTATATAGAGCGTTAAATTCGGAAGAACGAGACGTTTGACCGTAACGGTAGTCTCGCAAGTTGTGGCCATAAATTCCGCCGGAAAGTCCTTTGCCAATAGTATATTCACACGCGACCCGGATGTCACGTCATGCGTAATAAGCAGTAACTTACAACGGAAACAACAGCGAGCGCATTCCCGCGCGCCTCGATCGCCATTTAAATGCAGCCCGAGAAAAATATCGCGAGGACACCAGAAGGATCCGGTGACGTCCGGAGGATAGTAAATACTTAAAACATTCTTCACGGGGCTGGGAGAGGCACCGCATAAAACTCTTCGGCGAGTTACCTAGAGGCGAGGTAAAAGCACGCTTTGCGAGAACGCGCGACAACACTGTTGTCCGATTTCTGCGACCCATTTCCGTCCGCGACCGACGTGAATAAAGATGTTTATTCTTCCCGGGGCTTTCGGTGACATTTTCCCCTCGACTCTCTTTCTCCATTCTCTCTCTGTCCCTCATTCCTACGCGAATTTCGCGTCGCCTGTCCTACGTGCGGTTGGCACTTGTACACTCCGGTAAGAACACGCTATTCGAATCGCGAGATCGAGCGCGCGGCGAGCCATTTTGCCCTTTTCACCGCCCATGTGTGAACCGCGATTCTTCAAGTTTCCGAACCAACAGGAAACTGAGGATTACCTTCCAAACCGGTTTCGAAAATCCGGCCGCGTATACGTCACGCGGGGTGAGGCAACTCTCGAATCGAAATTTTGATACTACTTTGGTACTTTTTTTTAGTACAATTTACACCTACTTAGCTGATCTATACACCTACATAGACCAGCAATAACCTACTTTGATGACATTATATTTTTATTCCTCTCTTGAATGTTTAATTCTAAAAATTTACTTTAGCTTCTACTTAAGAGGACCCACTTTAATGCTAAATTGGCAAAAGTAGAAATTTCCAACACTATCAGTTTTTAAGTACGAGTAAATTTTGTACTTGCACTTCGATCTCTTTTACTGGGTTAGGTCCTACTATATAATACATTCAAAGGTTCAACATAGTAGGAAAATTTCGACTCGGGTTGCGATCGGCGAAGAGCGAAGGCGAGGAGAAACCGTTTTATTACCTGATCTACGGCGTCGACCGCGAGATTGTTGCCGACATTGCTGATCTCGGAAGTGTCCTCCGTGATCGGGTGATCGCCGATCGTGCTGTTGTCGCTCACGACGAGGCCCAGCAGGCATATCTGTAACAGCGTTTATCAAGGATCAGTTGAATAAAAGTTTTTACAGGCTCGGTAGATAAATTACTTATTACGATATCTATTGTGATTTCATATTTAACGGTGGCGCGACGGTGGCACAAAATATGGTGATTTGTCTCGCTCTCAGATATAGCGCGTCGGCTCTTACAATAAATAACAATTCTTGTCTCCGCGGGAATCTTGTCTCCGTGGAAAATGTATGTCGAGAATTGCCGAAGGGGTGAAAAGTTCCGCGGTTTCAGACATCGTCATGGCCTTAAATAATACATGAGATCAGGAAGTCGGGTTAACAATGCGTGTTGGAGAACGACACACGTTGAAAAGTCGAAAAGACGAAGAGTGTGTGTATTCGAAACTATTCCGAGCTCACCACGAGCTGCTATTATCTCGTTTTACCTATTAGATCGCCCTTTTAAAATAGTACCGATGGTAAAATGAACGAAGAAGCGTACACGGAGAGAATTTTATCTTAAAATTTGTCCTGAAAATTATATGATTGTCGGGATAAATTTTAAGGAAACATTCTCTCCGTGTACACTTCGCGCACCAAAAAAGGTGAAAGAGAATTGCGTAATATAATGCGCGATATGTAGAGCACGATAACATGAAACGGTGAATACCAAACGGATATTAGTCGCCGAATCCGGACGTCATTCGGACCGCCCGCGTATTCGTGCGGATCTGTGTATTCGTGCGGAAGCTGCGGCGGCAGAAACGCGCGGCTGCATCGTCGGAAAACGCCATCCGTTTCCGCGAGCCGATTCGCCGAGACCGGCGTGGTACGGCAAAGTAAATCTGGTCGGTCGGTCGGTCGTCGCTGAGACAAAAGAGTGCGCGCAAGAAGAAGCAATTTAATTGTGGCTCGAGTTCCGCCCGAAAACGGATATCCACTTTCTGGTATTACGGTACAAGGAGGAACTTTTATAACAAGCCACCGTGGCACTCGCGCGCCCCAACGACCGCCCTTCTCCGGCCGCACGTAGCGCTCGTTCCGGCGAAATTTCCCCTAACCGGAGGGATTCATATTTTACGACGGGGAGGTCTCCGCCGCTGCCGGTGCATAATACATTTTTGTTGAAACAATCGGCTGTCTGCCGCGGAAGCAGCATTAGTCATGAGGACTCGCAAAGAGTGTAACGATTCAATCCCCCGTTTGATTTCGACGACCGCGCTTTAACAATAATCGCTCGAAAGGAGATGAAACGTTCAGATTTAAGGCAACACAGTGCCGAGATTGTTCGTAACAATCTTAAAGTAGTTGAAATTCTTTTCGATTTAATATAAATTTTGAACGAATATTAATTTTGAAAGAATATTAATATTTTATACGTTTTTCTTTCTTCTCGAGACCAATACTGGCATTCACAGCACTCGACAATTTTCTTAATTGTTAGGAGAATATTATGCCAAGTGCATCGACTATTATCTCCTTCTTCTCGCTGCCTCGAGATGCATCGAATGCCAAGAATGTCATGTCGGTCATATTTAGGATACTCGGCTCCTTCGTGATTCACACAAAGAGATTCCAGCACGATGAGAGGGCGTTGATATATTTTATGGTTATGCCAACTTTCTCTCGCTGTGTGTCTCATTAAAGTACCTCGCGCGCCTCGCGCGCGAAAGAAAGGATCGCCGGCGTAATCAACCGATGTGTATATTTGACCGTTCGCACACGTCCTGCGAACGAATATATTCGCGCCGCCGCGCATTCGTTTAACGTCGGCGCGTGACATACGCACGGCGCACACCCGTAAAGATCCGTCGACGATGGAGCTTAACGTCCGCTGCAATGTTATTAGCGATAAATTTGGCGGCTTGAGCCGCCCTATAATTAAAGGTAAACGGTTGGCGTCCCTAGAAAATGAACTCGTACAGATTCGGGATTAACGCAGGCAAGTGCACGGGCGTAATCCGTTATTCGGAAACGTATGCTTTTCAGTCTGTTATTAAAACAGATTAAAATGATAAAACAAATATAAAAAGATAATCGGGAGTCATAAATCGTAAACCTGTAGCAATAACATCGCATTAATATCGGCCAGACGACGGGTCATGCCGTTCATTATAATTTTGTGTCTTTTTACATTGACCCTCTAAATTATCCTCTTAAATTATATTTATTGTTTTGCAGTAAAACACGTGGGCAGAAAGAACATGGAATCGATCTCTCTTTTGCTCATCTATGCACACATGCACGCGCTTTGTCATTTTATTTTTACAAAGCGTTCCACTTTTTTACGTTTGAATATTTCAACGTTTAAATATAACCTCGCAGTCGACAGTAAAATTTTCCTACAAAGTATTAAACTTTCTCAGTGCGGATTTATTTTAATAATAGTGATTCACGATAAAAAGTAGTAAAATTAGTGGAGGAGAAAGTGAACTTTCTGATAAAGATTTAAATTTGATAGAAACGTGCACGTGTGATATTTCCTACTCTAATTATTAGTTTAGCAATGACGTAACTGTTGTATAATCAAAAACTATATTTTAAAACTGAGATGTCGTTAACTATCACTTAGGAAAATCATAATTATCGATCCCCGACCACCTATACCGCTCCTCTGCAATCAACGTCTCTCTTGTGGCCTCGACAGCGAGAAAATTATAGTGATCAGGCGTAAGGCGGTCGAACGGATTAATCCGATGATCGAATTCACGGTAATTGATATACCTAACCACTAACATAATTTACATTTAACGGTACTTGTGTTATAATTATTCGATACATGCGAAACCGTCCAGAATGTAGAAAAGGTATTCAGACATTTCTATAATTCGAAATACCAAAGATTATTATTGCGACTATGCTTTTATTTTCAGGTCCCGGACAGGCATTTTTGCCAAATATCAAATTACTGTATCAAGTACGGAGAAAAGTTCTAAAAATTAACTGGCGGTACAAACATGGGTGTACACGTACACACATGTATATTAAATTAAACCGATTTAAGAAATCAATGAATACATCACAGAGATGAATCAACGAAACACCACCGCTGATTGCGTCAATACAAATTTGGCTCACTCACTTTCCTGCGCGTCTACAGAAGCCGAAAAGGGTGTGCGTTAAATACGAACCACCTTGCCTAACGTGTACGCTAGCTGCACATGTAACAGCGCAAAGCAGCACGTGCACAAGAACGCGTAGCCAATTTGTAGTGGAGCGATCGTGAACATGAGATTCTCTTCTGTCGGCGTGAACTCGGTCGAACCGGGCTTAGCGTAAAATTTATGTCCGACATGGGACGGCTAACGAGGCGTCGGCCCGATGCCATTTAATTCTTATCTGACCTCTTGATTGGCTCGCGTGCCGCGCGCGGATTAACGCCGTCGGACCACATTAATTCCAGTAATTAACTTGGCCCCGCTTACGCTCGATGAAAGTTCGACGTGGGCCACCCCTCTTGGATCGAAACCGTAAGCTAGCGTGCACGCATCGCTCACGATATAATGCGACTAAAGCATCAACAAATTTCTTTATGGTTCTTGCCCATTTCCTCTCGGTGAAACAAGTTAACATATCGCCGGATCAGACACGTATTATATTATATTAATTGCAATGGCGATCATGTATATTTTATATATGACAAATTGCAATTTAAAAACTTTAGAATGAAAACACTGACGTTGTTAATTATCGCTGGCGACATTGAAAAATTCTCATCAATTTATAAAACGTCTTAGAAAATGTAAAATTAATGTCGATTGTAATTCTGTCAATCTGGCGATTGTACCGAACTTTGAAAGAATTGTTTTAAGAAGAGAAAGAAAATCATAATTTTCTAATTCATCTCGATTCGATAATTGATTCGACACGTTTTACACAATTTCTTTCTCAAACGTTTCTTGTGTCAGCAATATACATAGTATTCATAACTGTTATGTAAACTGTTGAGCTTAACGATGCATTGTAATTTACATGCGCACACGATTTATGATACGGCAATTAGTGCTGAATTGTATAGCATCAGCAGATACATTTCGACATTGCATCGCAATTAAAACTCATCATTCGGCATGACGACTTTTAATCCTGATTAATGGTGAAATATCTACGAGTTCTGATTACACATTATAAAGCTTTTTAATCGGAAAGTATACATTTCAGATATCTTCACGGTATGCATTTATCTCTTCGTAAACGAACGCTTCAAATCACGCGAGAGAAATGGATTCATGGAGTGTCTTGTCTGGTTATCAAGGAATTTCTATTCTCGTCCGTGACCTTTTGGCATCACTACATAGAAAGAAAAGGAATGTGCTTCTGCCTACAGGGGGAGAACACGGGATTGTACTTTACGTCACGGTGTGAATAAAATTAATTTTTGACCGAAATCGCATCCGTGCGCAACTATACAAAGGTGTTTCAAAGGCACGTGGCGGTGAATCGAGAAGCTGCACTAAAAGGACCGTCGTGTTTTCAGATTAGAACCTACGCCTACCTAATCTCAGTGCGGTGCATTTATTTATGAAAGAACGTAACGCGTGTAGCACGCGTGTATTCACGCCTGTTTCATTCAAGTAGAATCGAATATTTTCAATTCTCCCAATTGAAATTCATGTTAAGAGAAAAGAAGATATATATTTTCCACAAAGTACTTTTATGTTCTTTTAATTTTTATAAGTTGTCTTATTTTCATCACGTAGATTTCTTTAATTTTAAATTACAATTTTTCTAATAAAATACAAGAAACACGACACTTATTTCATGTAAATACTTCATTCTTGTTATCAAAAATTAAATTTTTTTTTTAAAAACGATGGATTTATTTTTCATTATTTCCCCAAATATTGCTATTATATATATTTTTTTTTCTTCTTCTTCCATTTCAATTTTAACTGTAAAAATCGTACTTTATTTTAGTTACGATAACGTTATTAAAATAGTTATGTTACGTTATTAAATTCGTAATTTATTTTAATTATGATGATGAAGCATTTATCACGTAAACCTACGTCCCGATTAAATTTAAACCTTT